TGAAAATGTTTGTTGTTTCGGCTTTTCTGTGTTTGCTGGTTTTGATTTCAAATCATTTTACAAAGAATATCGGTTCGGGTTTGGACTGAAAACAAGTTATTTTAAGATGTGACCTCGAGCTGCGATGGACATTCACTACTGTTTGACATGTCATAGACATAAATAACCCACAGACCTTAGATTCAGAGCCAACTCAAGACTCACGGTGTCCAGAAACAAGTCGATTTTAACTTTATTTACAACTCCAGAACAACTGGGCTTCTGACGACTCTATCTGCTGATGCAGATCACATGCTGTTATCAAACGCTCCAGAAGGAAATGGAGCTTGTGGTGAGGCAGTTTTCTCAGCTGCTGTTTCAAGGGATAACATCACTTTGAACTTGTACAGTAATTGATAATGAAAATGATTGTTAGCTTGCAGCTCAACACACATGTAGGTCGGGCCAGAGGCAGAAATATCCACACAATAACACACAGATCCAAAACACATAAAGCCACTGGTTTCCCCTGCTTTTCATAGACAGGTAAACAATATACGTGCAGAGACAAGGACAGTAAACGCACTCTTGATGTGAAGCAGCTGAAAATAACACAATCCATGCACCATAGACTCCGATCACTCACATCTCAACCTACTGAAGCTGCAAAAATGTGTGAGCTACTGTTCAGGAGTTTGTACAGTGTGTTTAACCACGCTCCGGCCACCTCGCCTCGTCTGCCACGCTGCACAGCAACGCCCAGTTCCGTCTGTGGCTCTGAATCCGACGGAGTCCAGGCCAACATCGTGCCCTGCTGGACGGGGATCAGTCAGGGAGCAGGAAAAGCTGAGGGCTGCCAGACGAAACAGAGGCCTGCCAGTTTATGCAGCGGTTTATAAGCATGTCAGGCTACAAAGAGAAATCAAAACACATGCTGTCATTCATGCACCCATCACTCTATTTGGTGCCTGCACCGCTTCAAGGGAGAAAGAAAAGTGGCAGTGTGGAATGAGGGTAAAGAGCTTGTATATCTTGTATAGCTTGTAGGTCGGCCTGGAAACAATCAAGCGGCTTCACCTGTGGCAACTTAGTTCGATAAGATACCTCCGAATTTCCCAAGTTATTTCATGCATGTCTACTTAAACACAGCCTTGGCAAAGACCTTGAATGAAAAGAAAAGCCCAAAAGGCAATTCTCGTCTCGTCGGATCAGTCCAGAAACTCAGTTGGTCGAGCTAAGCCTGATATCAGCCTGATGTTTTCTCCATATGGCTGTATTTCTGACAGCTCTGCATGTCTGGGATCACACTTTGAGCAAATGTACCATGATGCCAAAACGTCACAGTCTGCCCTTTTCAAGCCTCAGGACCAAAACCAACTGCTTTATTTTAAAGGTAAAAGAAAGTGCAGCGATTCGCAGATTGTACTTGTTCCATGTCGCTCTTGCCGCAGATCTGGATCAGATAGATCCGTTATGTCTCACGGCAAATTCAATGTGACCCTTAAAAATCAAAGTACTCCAGTCTCAGAGATGGTTTATGTCATTTTAGATAGTTCTTATCACACCCATTTATATCAAAGTGTTCATTCGTCTGGTAAGTTTGGTTTTAATTGGTTATTTGATCCTATAAAAATGTGGGGAAACTTAAGGATTGACAGCTGAGACCGACTCGAAATTGGTCAAGCTTGTGTAAGACCTTGATACCGTGGCTCCAAATGGACAAGCTGGCTGAATTTAAATCCATCCTGGCTTCTTCTCTGGATAGTGGGAGAAAGTGGAGACACGTTGTCCATCTTTATTTACTAAAAATGTATTTATTTATTTTAAGAAATATGCTCATCTGCTTTGTGACAGAGGAGTAGGAGTAGTAGTAGTTATCTTAGATCAGGATGATATCTCACATACTTAAATGTTGGGCTGTGATAGAATTTCTTGAATGCAAGAAAGAAAGGCAAGTTGTAGACCTGGATCTGGAGATGTTAGCTTGGCTTTGTTACATGTTCCCCCTTGTTCTTGCCTTAATGCTAAGCTAAGCTAACTGACTGGCAGTTACATTCCCAAAGAAATGTTGAACTACTCCTTTAATCATCCCCTGACCTCCAGGCGGAGAATCACTGACACTGATTAAAGGTTATCTCTGCCTGTAACAGCCTGCTCTCCCTGCTGCTGAATTAAAAGACGATCACGTTAAAGGTGAACCATCATGACAGAAACTCAGACGGCTCCGTCAAAACGCCTCCTCGACCTTCTCTTTCAAAAACACGATGCATGATTTAACAAAAGACGTCTGTAGAAGTGCATTGTGGGCCTTTAACTCCCACCGCTGGCCCACATCATCAACCCACCGGTACAGGACTCGTTCACGGGCACCAGGAAGCTTAAGAACAGAACAATTCCCTGCTAATTAACCAGCTCAGGCCCGTCCACGACGCAAAACCCCCACCAGCTGCGTTATTACCGGCTTACAGAGCGACTCATTCACGCCTCAGCCCGACAGCTCTGACAGCGTTCAGCTCCCACTCGTGTGTGCATGTGTGTAAAGGGCCCGAGCAGCTGCCGAGTGAGCGACGGCAGACACAGCAGCACGTGGGAGTCTGGGTGACGTTCTTTTATAAAGCCCCTGAGCTCAGGTGGAAGAGACATCACATACATTATGGATAAGAGTCGGTCGTTGACTAACAATGCGGTGTTGAAGAAGAGCCCATTCTCATGTCACAGGTTGCATGAAGGCACTTTACTGCTTCTCCACCAACATGTCATGTTTCACCCTGAGCTACACTCATCCTTTTACTCTTAGAGCATTTGAGTGTTTATATATAGACGTATATATGTCTGCGTGTGCGTGTGCTTATCACAGAACACGACCGTCCCACAATGCAACATAAAGTGCTGCCGTCTGCCACGACAGTGAAGGCACTCCAGTGTAATTGATTCCGACGCCGCGTCACAAACACGACAGTCGCCGGCTCTTCTGCCGAGCATTAATGAGCTGCAGCGTGACCTAGCTGTGGCAGTTGAAGCAAAATCAGCCGGTTAATAATTCAACTTTGCACACGCCCAGATTTTACTTCTTAATAACATCACAAGACATGCCCTGGATTCTTCTGACAGAGATGCTCGCATTCACAAAAGTTTCCTCGGTGATGCCAAACCAAAAGAGTAACATGAGATGTGTTTAAACTCATGATGTCCACATGAGGCAGCTCTGCTCCCCCAAAATACTTCAATCTGCTCACATTTAACATGTAGGCAATAAGTAAAACTATTATATCACTGTTGTTTTATTTCTGCCTATTTAACTGTGTATTTTGTATTTTTCTCATTTCTATACTTTCATTTTTGAGCAACGTCTCCTGTGGCAAATTAATTTCTCATGGAGATTAATGAAGTTTATCTCTCTGATCATATGTAAACATCATTCATGTGGCAGCTTCAGCTCAGTTAATTAGTTTATTTCAGTGGTCTTTAGTCTTCTGACTCATTTTATCTAACGTTTTACTTGTTGGGTTTTATTTCCATCGACTGTTTTTATGTTTGTTATATGTCGTCATCTCTTCACACATAAGCTTACACACATATTGCACATCAAAACAACTATGACAGCTGGACTGTAGTGAAGTTCAGAGGAGTTTTAAGGTGGAGTTTTACTTTAGGTGTCATATTCAGTTTGACCCTTTAATTGCACAGTCAAACGTGTTAGAGAATTGTGAGCATGACACAGTCAAGGGCCTGACTTCTTTTAGACGCATGAAATGATTGTTTTACTGCAGTAAATGTGCTTCTTTCTTCTTCTCCTGCAGTGTTATGAGGGGGAATACCATCGCTTTAAATACTTTGTTAATACATAGGTACACATGGGAGTACTTACGCACTAGCCCAGATGGCGGACCCTCTAATTTGAGATCCAAGGGTATAATTAAGAGACAAAAAAATTAAAAAGGAAAGCACGAGGATTTGCTGCTGCGACATGAAACGCGGCGCAAATTACAGCAAGAAGGTTTGTGCGGTCATCGTTATTAGATATTCACATTAAATCTGAATATTCAGCCTCGAGGAAAAAGAAGAGAAGTGTGTGAGTTGGGGGGGGATCCGGCTGTGAACTTTGAAGTTCTGCACAGTGGCTCGAGTATATCGCTGCGTAATAGTGTGAAGTGGCCGATGAATTAAATGGATCAAATCAGATGATAAAGGTTTCAAGTTCATTCCGGGAGGAAGAGGAAGAGGAGGAGGAGGGGGGCTGATCTCTGGGTGGTTCAATTAAAAGACACAATGGCGAGTAATGCTGCGCGAACACCAGTGATATTAGACGGGGATGAACATTTTCTGCCACCAAAGGTTGAAAATGAGATGAACGAAGCTCGCTGTGATGTGACTGATGAGCTGAGAGCAGCTGATGCAGGAGAGGTGAACAGATTCCGGCTGTAGCGCAGCAGGCGTTGGAGAGTCTGGTGCGTAAAAGCTGCAGGTTTGGGTTTAAAGGCGCAACGTTTGCCAAGATCACCGTAACAAGACGTCACCGTGATTTTTAAACCTTCCTGCAGATTTTACACGGATCCACGTTTGGTGCCATGTGGCTGTGGGACTCCACAGGTCTGAGGACCGATGTGTTTACCCTGTAGGTGTGAAGTGAAATATCTGATCAGACCAGTCTCTCTGCTCACGTTAACTCACTCGCTGAGATGACAACAAGTTCCCCCCCTTTTTTTATTCTATGGCTGCACTGTGTCACCCTGCGAAGGAAACTAAAGGCAGCGTGCAGTTTGGGGAAAACGTGCCGTGCAGGGATTCGGACCAAGGCGATAAAATATATGAATGGAGTTCACTGCGACTGCAATGTGTGTCATGCTCGACACCGAACAAGAAGAACAATCCATGAAACATTAGAATAAACGTGTGTAAACGCCGCGTAAAGTGTGCGTAAAAGATCAACTTTGGACACGGTGCCGACTTAACGCACGCATTGATCGGGACGGATCCTCAGAAAAAGAGAAGGCGAGCAGAAAAAAAAGTTTTTGTCTTACCGGTGTCGAAATGATTCAAGGCTGCGGAGGAAATAAACCCAGCGAGTAGAAGAGCGGAGGTGACTGTCCACGAATCCATGGTGAGGTTAAAGAGACACTCAGGTGGACGGACGGATGCGCAGCCCGGCGAGGTGGAGGTGGTGGACTCACCGACTCACTGACTGACTGACGGTCCGGGTGTGCGCAGGGAGTCCCTCTTTGCTCCGCGTCATAAAAAAGTCCCTGAACTTCCAGCTCCTGCAGCTACTAACAGCACTGACACCACAGAGACGGGACCAGATAGTACAACGCAGGGATACTGTTTCCAAACCATGTGACAGGAAATAGGGGCAACAGATTCAACCTGCAGAGCTGGGGAAGCCGAGGAGGAGGAGGGAGGAGAGGAGGAGAGAGGGAGAAACTGAGGGAGGGAGGAGAAGAAGGGAGGGTTGTGGTGCTGGTGCTGGAGGCAGGACTCTTGTGGTGCAATGAACAGCAGGTTAGAAAAGAATAAATTGATTTCCTTTCTCTAAAAAAAGAATGTTTTTTAACAACTATCACATCAAAAACATAAAAAAAACATTAAGAAATTAGATTTCAGAGGATAAAAAAAACACTTTAAAGCAGCATAAGCTCATCGTGAACTTACTATCAGGTCTTTTTATGGGCATGGAGGTGGTGGCACATATCAGAGTGACCATAAAGTATCACAGCTCACTGTAGGAGCAGCACAGACTCACAATAAATGGATTTTATGTTGGGGTATATACGTCTAAATTTAAAATTTAAGAACCCCTGGGTTACAATATAAGTCCACGGAGATAAATATAAAATATATAAATATAAAAAAGGTTAACAGTGAGGGAGGATCCTGGAAGAGCAGCGACAGTGGAGCTCATAGATTGAGATTTAATTAAGATCTGAACGAGGCTGAGGAAATAGTTCTTCAAGGGGGAATTCAGTTTTTTTGTTCCTGTTGCTGGAGCTGTGATGAAAGAAAGTAGTGATCAAAGTCAAACACATATATATACAGTATTTATCTGTCTGGATTTTTTTAAAGATAAAACAGTGAATATGTCCCTGAGCACAGTTCGCAGGGAATCAAAGAGTTATTATGAGAATGTGTGGTTTTCTTTTTCAAAACCTGCATCATCAACAAATGAGCAGATAAAGTTTCACACACTCATCTTGAGGCTGGTGATGTTTCTGCAGAAATGAATAGAACATCCGGATGTGAACAAATGAAGGAAAGTGACTCTTGACTGGACAGAAACAGGTGTTTACTCACTCTGTCAGTCCCTCTCACCTCTGTGCATCTTCAGTGTGAAACAGCGTCCTCTTGTGTTCCACTGCAGGCAGCATGAAGTCCTGCGAAGAAGTGTCCGAGCCAGAAACACAGCCAGTGACTGAGCCTAAAAATAGAAAAACCTCAGAATGATCTCAGCACTGTGTAAGAGGACAGGCCCAACATTTATTTTGCCAAAACCGACTGGGTTGAGATGGGGTGCACTGGGAAAGCGATCAGAAGTCATCCAGCATGACGTGTGCACTTTGGAGAAATGTAACTGTGGCCTTGAGATACTGTCTGGTTAAAAAAAAAAAAAAAAAATCCACTTATATCACAGGGAAAAAGTGAGACTGTCTGAGAGTTATTTTAATTTATCAATACGGACAGTTTTCCAAGGCTCTAACTGAGACGTCCGATGCTTTACGACACTGTGTGACAGCTCGATTTGATGTTATACGCATTGGAAGTCCAGTAAGAAGTGGAAAATAACAAAGTGCATCTACTCAAGTTACAATTTTGAGGAGACTCAACTTGAGTATTTTCATGTTCTGCCACTGTCTTTTTATTTCACTACTGAACATTTGCTGTGTGGTTATATTTACCTTAGGGATTCAGATTTTAGATAAGAAAACATGATGCATTAAAAAATATGATGTGTTTTATAGATTAAACTACTCATCGATAAATAAAGTAGTTTAAATGACCTAAAACATTTACACCTTAATGCATCACTTTACTGTAACACTGCTGATAATGAAGTATCCCTCAGAGGAGCCACACTTCTACTACTGATACTTAAAGTATTTGTGAAATTGCACCAACACTTTTCTATTTTAAGTAATAAGTTATTACCATTGCACCTAATTTGTACTTTTAAATACATCAATACCTCTGTTTGGACTTTCGTATATATGTACTAATCAAAACCCAAACAGACACTAAAGACGAATAAATTCACAAGATATTCACACTTGACAAAATGGAACCAGTCAAAGATTTTGAATGAATCCGGTGTTTTGTTATCGTTAACTCCGCCAAGGAGGTTATGTTGTTGTCTGAGTTGGTTTTGTTCGTCAGCAGAATCACACAAAAACTACACAATGAATTCCCATGAAACTTGGTGGACGGATGTGATGCTGGGTCAAGAAAGAACCCGTGGAATGTCGGTGTGGGTCCAAGTCAGGGGTTGGATCAAGGAATTTATTCTCACATGCTTTAAAATGTTCAATATTTTCCTCGATTCCTGAGAATAATTCATCAACCTTGATTTTTAAAATCTATGAGTGTGTGGAACTTAGTGCTGATCCAAATTAAAAAGTGAATTTAAATGTGGTTCCATAAAGAGGCTGTCTGTGACGTGTTGATCAGAATGAATGAAGACTGTGCCCACATGAGAATTATCCTGAATTACCCTCATCTCCCCTATGATGCTGTACAGTTGTGGTAGCAAGGCTCCCTTTGTCTTCTTTGTCTCTCTCTCTCTCTCTGTGTGTGTGTGTGTGCACGTCTCTGTGTGTGTGTGCATGTGTGTGTGTGATCACATGTTGGACAAGTCTGCACACGCTGCCTGGCCACATTCCTCGTGGTCTGCTGGAGTTATTGTAATTCAATTTTTTTTTTGTTCTCCGCTGATAAAACTTGGCACTTCCACACATGACATTCACACTTTGATCTTTGACCATTTGAGCAGTTTAATTGTGTTTTAATTAGGTCACAATAATTACCTCTAGTTCCTCATAGCACCAGGCGTGCTCATCTCTTTAAAGCTTTGGGCGACTGCAGCGAGAACCGAGCCCCTCATCGTCGAGGTCACGCCACAGAATAATCCACGGAGATGTATTAGAAAGTACTTTGGCAACCCTGACCTCCCTGCGATTGAGAAGATATGCATGCCTGAATCAGAAGTTGGCCCAGATACTTTGAATTCAAGAAATTCAAGAGCGCAGACTGTGTCATGTCTCTTCGGTAAACACAAGTGTCTGCCCATGAATGTTAACGGCACATTTCTCTCCTTTGTGGTCAAAACCAGGCTTTTGTTCTTGGCGTGTGAGATAATCAGTCACTGTATCGTACCCGAGGCACTCAAACCAGTTTGAGCATGAAAAAAAATCTGCTCTCTTTCTGTTTCAATTAGTTTAAGAGTGAGAACAACATTTAAAGGGTCACTTAACCCATGAAGACTTCCCAAAAAAAACAAATATAATTCCTCTCTCTCCTGGTCGTCAGTTGTTACTTTGCAGATAGCTTTGGTATTTCTATGGAGTCGCTGACATATTTGCTGCCACTGCAATAAAGGTGGATGGGATGTGTTTGAGATGCTCACAGCACAAAAAATGATATTTAAAACTCAACAGCAGCGTGTTCTTTCAAAAAAACAGATGTTTAGGGGACTGATGTTGATGAGTGTCTGTGCCGAGTTTAGATGTGGTTTGATAACGGGACCGTTGGGCCTTGGCGGAGGCATCGGGCTCTGCTGAGTGACACTCTGGTCGTTGGAGATAATCCACAGACGCCAAAGTCTTCACCGCTAACAAATCTGCAACTAGTTCATTGTTTGAGTCGTCTTTAAACCAGAAACACCAGTTTTTCATGCAACATGGACCAAGAGAGGAACCCATTAAACATCGGTCTGGACCCGACCAATATTTTACATCCACATATTTAGTTTTCCTTCCTTTAAACCATTTTTTGATCTTTTCACCAATTTCTCTGGGGGCGATTCGCAGACCTTGATGAAAAGAATCAGACATGTTAAGTGGTCTGATATTGATGAGTGTCTGCAAATTGGCGCAGCTTGATTGAATTAAAGTGAATGCACTCTACTCAGAGGCATTCTACTTTAATTAAACTATTTTCTGCTTTTCTTCATCTCAGACAATAATTTACTGCATATCTTTGGGTTTTTTAACTGTTGGTAGGAGAAAATAAGAATCTGAATAAGTCATCTCGTGCTTAAGGAAAACATTTTTTACAACTTCCCCGATGAAACTATTATTCAAAATAATTGGTAGATTGAAAATAAAAAACATCATTGAGTAGTTTCAATCAAAACTGCTCACAGTCCATCGCTCTGTGGATTATGCAGAGATACTTTGTGCAAAGATTATTAAAAACAAATCGACAGCATGAAACAAGTTATTATTTTGTGGATATTAGAGCGGCAGCAGCGAGTATCGAGGATGAAGATCTTAAAACCTGAGCGTATAAAAGCCGATCCTCTAAAAGCAGCACGTTCCAGTGGGCACACACCTCATCTCTGAGGCTGAATCCAGAGGATGGAGGGAATCCATCTGTGAAGTTTTTTTTTTTCTGGTTTGGCAGCAACATAACTAGAAGGATGATGATTGTGTCTTTCTCTTTGACTGAGTCAGTGTTTGCTGTCGGAACCGTTTCCCTCGGTGCCACAACGACCTCACTTGGCTCATTACATTAATTAAAAGCAAAAGACACCGGCACAAACATTGACGCACATCGTCTTACGCCTGTGAGTCAGTACCATTACTCATGTATAACATCTGGTTGTTGTCTGAAGTGTGTGCGACACAGCGGCAGCCTCACGCAGTCTATATGATCCTCATCATTAGTGGCTGCATACACCACACAACACATATTACTGTGTCACCCTCTGACCCCAGCAAAGCTCTGCTGAGGAGAGCCCGCCTTGACGAATGACTGCCTCCGGCCCTATCTGTACCAGTAAACCCCCCCAACCACACACACACACACACACCTGCAGGCCCCTGAGCTCACCCGTGTTCAAAGCCAAGATAAAAGCCAATGTTTACATCCAGCCACCTGCACGTTAACCAGCAGCCACTGCAGCACCGCAGCCCCCCCCCCGCCTCCTCCGCCTCTCTCCGTTGACACACACAGCCGTCATCCATCTCGATCGTCCCCCTGGGTCTCTAATTAGGCCCCAGGTGGGCGACACCCTCTGGAATGTTTAATGTAACATCGCTCATAGAAAGTTTTTGTGTAAT